GCCATCCAGGTGGAACGATGTGAAATTCAGTCAGGGGCGGTCAGAGGAGAGCCCAGCAGCTGGGCTCCAAGGGTAGACCTCCTTCCTACTCCATCACCCTTCTGGCTCCCATCCACCTCACTGAGCCCTACCTCCACCACTCGACAAAACCTGCAGCTATCCTCCAAGCCCATGTGTGATCCAATTTTCCCAGTACTAAGAACCTAAGATGTAGAAAACCCTCTGTCCTTGTGACAAGGCACAGGGTCTAATTGAGCTGGTCAACACAAGCCAGTGCAGATGGCAAAGGTCAAAGAGTGCACTGTAATACATGCCCACTGGGGTTTCAGGAGCTGTAAACACTCAACCCTAGACACCGCCAAGGGGTCGGAGCCCAAAAAACTCTCCCCACAACTGCCAATCTGCATGCTTCTCCTAGGGGTTTGAGCAGGAGTGCACCCAAGAAGCGAGCTACACCCCTGTTGCATGCCCTGCAAGAAGGATTAGGGAATTCCTCCCATATAAGTATCACCTTGGATCTTTAATTGAGAGATTTCTAAAGGTATGAGACCTATACTTCTCATGTAACAATAAGGCCATTTAGTAATCAAAACCATAAATATAAAAAAGACACAGGAGGGATATAAATAGGTAATTTACATTATATATAGGAGCTATATTCTTTGGAATAAAGCTCAGGTCATCTCAGAGATATGCTTTCTTTTCTCAAATTATGAGTATTCTTTCCTTAATTTCTCCACTTGCTTCTGTCACAAGAACACATGGGATTAAGAGGTGATTCTTCAATTGTATTCAGAGGGAGAAATGAATAATGATCTTATTTTATTAAGAATTTGATGTACACTAGTCAAACATTTATCAAAAATCATTTCAAAATCTAACTTATTTTTAAAGTAATCAATTAGATAATTGTATATATGTGTGTAGGTAAATATATATCTCAATATACATGTATATAACTTTTTACAGTTTTGTTTCCTTCATTTAAAAGAAATGTTCAAGTTGTAATGTTGTATGCAAACATAAAGTAGAAATTTATTAGCCTGACATAAAGAAACTCAATGACAAATTTGGTATTCAAAGAAACACATTGTTATATTGTAAAGCTATATTTCTTTTGTTCATAATACAAATTACAAGGCTTTTACTAGCTTTGAAATTATTATCCTTAAGTCTATGTCAGTGTTGCTAAGCAGAGATCAACCAATAAGCTGTGCTTAAGTGAATTTCCCATTTTTCAATTTTCTACTATGGACTAATAAAGTGTGGAAGACAGTTTCAGTGTTTTCTATTATTTTGCTTATAGGAAACTGTTTCAGACCTGGAGATGACAAAATTTGGTAAAAGCCTTACTAGCATGTCAAATATTTCATTTATTGTTTCTCAAAAGTGATTTTGATTCAGCAACTACTTTCTTTGTTTTTTTTTACTTTGATATTCATATTTCCTCCAAAATTTGAAGATATATTTTTGCTGTAATTGTAGGGTTTCTGTTTCCCAGAAACAATTGGCACATTATTTATGTATGATTTTCTCTGAATATCTTTTATGTTACATATATATAATCACTGTGAAATACAGTCAATGTGAAATACAGCTTAACTATTTTAACTTTATTGACCAAGCCAAAACATTTGTTTTCCCTCCCATCTTACTTTTTTGCCTCTTCATTGAGATTTTCTTTGTTTTCTCTATTTTATGAAAAGATTTTATTATAAATTACCATTTTCTGGTGGTTTATGAGATAGACATTTTAGTTCTGTTTCTACTGTTTCTATTTTACTTTGTGCATGCTTTCCAAGAAGTAATATTTAGATAGCAATGTAATAATTCCTAAAGTTTATTATAAAATTTCATTCATTCATTTATTCAATCATTTATCTGTTCATTCATTTCAAAACATGTATTTACATCTGATATGTACACAGTGTCATGTTACATGCTGCAAATGTAAATATAAATATAATCTGTCTGAATGTTAAAGGTTGTGTTAAATTGTGGCTGATATAAGACTATAAATAGATTTTGATATTATCATGATGTTAAAACAATAAGAGATTGTTTCCATAAACAAATATATTTCTTACATACAAGCCTGCCACTTGTGCTGGTTAGGCTAATGCTAGCATCTGGTGTTTATTATTTTTGTTTTTTTCTTAATTGACAAGTATGTATTAATCCTATACAACATGTCATTTTAAAATATGTATACATTATGGAATGACCAAATCAACCTGACCAACACATGCATCGCTTCATATGTTTTCTTTCTTTTTTCTTTTTCTGGTGAGAACACTTAAAATACAATACATTGTTAATAACTGTAGCCACACGTTGTACAATAGATTCCTCCCACTTAGCTGACATTTTGTAAACTTTGACCAACATCTTCCTAGACTTCCTTCCATCCAGGCCTGCCATTTTTCTATTTATGTCACATTAATAGGATTTAGAGGGTTACTTTCTTTCCTCTCCAAGATAAGATTGTTTATTCTGAAGAAAGTGATGATTGGAAGTAGATCTGGTGGTGAGATGGTGGGTGAGGACACATAGTAACCTATGATACAAACTACAAAATCAGAAAGCTGAATACATCAGTGTCATGTAAGTAAGAGACAGGAAACAGTAACAAATGAGAATGCTGATCTGGCAGACTCCTACTCACACTTCAGATCTAAAAGCATTTGCCTTTTCTTAGAAAATTTTCCTCTTCAACATCCAAAGTTTTGCTTAGTTGCTAGTTCTGTCTACTCTTGTGTGGCTCTAAGATGTTGTGAACACCAGAAGAGAGCTTTGAAGAGCACTATTAATAATATGTTCACTCTATGTCACTTTGCTATTTCCAGAAGCTGCCTTCTGGGGTATCTAATCTATTATCCTTCAGTGTGAATATATAAAGTATCCATAAAAGCTTTTGCGTATATGGCTTTCATCTATAAATACTAACTGTATTCAAAATTAAGAGAGAAACTTTACAAGTATTTATTAATTTATTATAGAATGATAATGCATTACATGTCACATAATCACATTTTATATAAATTAATGATTTTTCAAAAAATTAGTGAGAATAATATTGTTTTACATTTTAAAGAATTGTAATGCCCAACTCAATAGGCAACAGCTATATTATCTTACCTGCTTTTCCACACAATCTGTTGAAATATATTGCTTTGTTTAATGTGTATGAGAAAATATGACTTCATATGGCTATATAGTTGGAAAAGGAACGACTTGAGTTTTTAAAACCCTTTTTCAAATAATTTTGGATCTTTTTTTGATACTACACAAAATTTGACTTGCATTTTGTCAGAGCCTAAAATACAAACACATACCTAGTCCTTTCAAATACAACACATTATAGTATAAACAGATATGTAAACAAATAAACTTCTAAGCGTGTTGTGATAATATAGTGTATGTGACAACCAGGAAGAGGTAATGATAAGTTCTATTTTAAACTTCAGCTGAGTTGATAAAAATATTCAGAAATATGGGAAATGAAATAACAAATGAAGCATGAATGAATAAATCAATGAATCAATGTATTAATCAATCATTTCACCAATTGGTTGACATTTAACTGGGAAAGGCACACCATATACCAACTAGCTCCTGCATTGACTTCTGGAGTACTCAAGCTTGAAGTAAATAAGATTTGTCTGTCCATTCTAGGAACTGTGGTGACATTGGATGTCTTCTTAATTGAATATACAAATAAAACTATTTTTAAAAATGAATTCATAAACCTAATTTTAGCTTCAAAGACTGACCAGGCTGAAAAATGTTCTATAGGAAAGATTATCAACATAGACAAGACACTTCTGACCAGGCTGGAAAATGTTCTATAGGAAAGATTATCAACATAGACAAGACACTTAAGGACTCCTTTAAAGGCTAAGAATATATCCTAGATGAATATTAGATAAAAGTTGTATGAGTTCATGCCAACAACTTGATTAAAACCGGCCATGCAATTTTTGTCTTTCTGTGCCTGGCCTATTTCACTTAATATTCTGATTTCCATCTTCATCCATGATGCTGCAAATTACAGAATTTTTTTCATTTTTTATGATGGCATAATATTATATTGTGTATATATGCCACATTTTCTTTATCCACTTATCTGTTGATTTCATATCTTGGCTATTGTGAGCAATGTTGCAATAAAAATGGGAGTGCAGCTATCTGGTATCTCTTCAATATAGTGTTTTCCTTATTTTTGGATATATATTGATGTTCCCATTTATATGTGGAAGATAAAAAGATGGACCTCAAGGATACAGAGAGCAGACTGGTTGTTACCAGATGCTGGGAATGGTGGGAGGAAGGGAAGATGAAAAGAGGTTAATTAATAGTTACAAAAATACTGTTAAAAAGAATAAGACATAGTGTTCAATAGTACAGTACGGTAACTATAGTTAACAATAATTTATTATATGTTTCAAAATAGAAGAGAATTTGAATGTTTCCAATATAAAGAAAAGGCAAATGTTTGAGGTGATGAATATTCTAATTATCTCCATTTAATTATTACACATTTTACCCATGTATCAAAATATCATGTGTACCTCCAAAATGTGTAAAACTATTATGTACCAATTTAGAACATTTAGAAAAATAATAATATGTGATTTTTAGAAACCACTATTCTACTTTTTACTTCTATGAACTGAACTAGTTTTAGCTATTCATAAGGTTTATGTATTTTAAAACATTATGTTATATATGACATATTTAATTTTATGTGTCAATTTAAATAAATTGAATTAAATTTATTTTTTTAAAACTGGCAATGGACAAAAATTAAGGGAAAGGCACTGAGATATACATCCAGAATGGACTATAAATTTTCCCAAAACAGTTTCAGAAAACATATACTGGGAGAGATAATAGAAAATGTATGGTACTACACATGAATAAAGTAAAATATTGCACATAAGTTTCTTCTTTGTTATTTTTAATTTCTCTTTCTTCCATCTGTATTAAGTTGTCTTGTATCAACCTTCACCTTTATCACCCTGGAAGAACTTTATGACACTGTCTCGTATCTGTTTTGTCTTTATTCCATAAACAATGGGGTTTAGTGTTGGTGGAAGAAGATAAAGTTTAGCCACAATGATGTGAAGAGAAGAGGAGATTGTGTGCCCCCCAAAACGGTGAGTAAAGAAAGTAAAGAATGCTGGAACATAGGTGATGATGATGGCAGATATATGAGCTGTGCAGGTGCTGAAAGCCTTCTGCCGAGCATCTGATGAGGAGAGGCTGATCACTGCCTGGAGGATCATAGAGTAAGAGACAGATATACAACAAATGTCAAACACTCCAATCAGGAGAGCAACCATTAGACCATAGATTACATTGACCTTGATGCTGGCACAGGACAGCTTTACCACAGACATGTGGTCGCAGTATGTATGGGAGATGATATTGCTTCGGCAGAAAGGCAAACGCTTGACCAAGAACGGGAAAGGAATCATCAGCAATACACCCCTCAGGAAGGTTGCAAGCCCAGCCTTGGCAATGATAGGGTTGGTAAGTGTGGTAGCATAACGTAAAGGGTAGCAAATGGCTATATAGCAGTCCAGAGCCATGAGCATGAGCACACCAGACTCCACACCTGTGAACCCATGAACAAAGAACATCTGGGCCAAGCAAGCATTGAAGTTAATTTCTTTGAGACTGAACCAGAAGAGGCAGAGTGCATTGGGTAGAGTGGTGGTGCAGGTAAGGAGGTCAATGAGAGAAAGCATGGCCAAAAAGAAATACATCGGACGATGTAAGGACTCTTCATAATAAATGAGGTACACAAGACCAAGATTCCCCACGAGGGAGATGATGTACATTGTGCAGAGGGGAAGGGAGATCCATACATGTACTCTTTCCAGACCTGGTATTCCATTAAGAATAAAAAATTGGGGAGCCACATATGAATTGTTGGAAACCAGCGTAATGAATTAATTACAAGCATTCTATTTTTCCAGAAGTTTCATCCTGAGGAGAAGGAATTAAGAAACAAATTTCACTCAAATGTTCCTTGCAAATACAAACTCAAATTCAGAGTAAAATTAAGGTTAAAACAGCACCAACAATTATAAATAATAGTGACTATGAAAATACACAATATATTGAATAATACTATATTCCAGATAACATTTTAAAAGTGTCATAAGCAGTATAAATATAATTCTATAGCCATAAGTAAAAAGTTACATATATATATTTTTACCACCAAATAGAAGTAGAAACTGGGGGACAGAAAGATTGAATAATATTAGCTGTCACATAACTAGATTCAGGAACACAAACGGTATTCATATGTGACTTCAACACGCATGGAATCTTGTTACTATGCATTCTGGCTTCACAGAAGACATATCCTATGACAGCTTGTGAAGCATGGCCCAAAATTCTTTCAGTAAATCAATGTTGTATGCCAATACACAATGGGAAGATTATGATTATTTCTACCAAATAGCACATTATTCACATTTCAGCTTTTTCTATACAAACTGTGTGACTTGATAAGCTTTATGTCACTGTCAAAGCCTCAGTTGCTCATCTATAATGGGAAGAAGGTGATACCTACCTCAAAGAGTTCTGAAAAATAATCAGAAATTTATTTACTCCTAGGCTAATATTCCAATGAATTAGATATACTAATTATTCAAAATGCAGATATAAGTACAAAATGGATATAAAAATCAGGAATAATGACCACAAATATCAATCTAATTTGATTGTTCCAAGAAGAAAGAAACATCTTTTTCTTGAATAACCTATAATCCTTCAATGTAATTGAGATTATCTATTTTCTTTCCATATCTTCTCCTTTTATATAATTCTCAAGAGGCATATTCTCTAGATGCTCCCTTTATTCTCTTTTGTGGGAAGTTTTTACTCTTATGACCTCAAGTATAACCAACACGAAGATAATTTTCAGAAAATTGCTTGTATAAATAAGTTATGTCGTAGCTGTTGAGTCCTTCTAAATGCATGATAAATATTTTCATCAGAAATATCCATAACAATTTACATTTACTCCGTAACACTTTACATTTACTATGTCTAAGACTACACTTATCATTTCAACCTCAACCTCTGCCAAAAAATAGGCTTCACCTCTAAGTTCTGTTTTTTGGATAATAGTGTCATTATCTACTACATTACCTAAACTAGTATATTTATGATCTTCCCTGGTATTCCTTCACCTCATCTTGGATATAATTCATTTATAGCTTAAAGTGTCCAAATTGTTACTCCACCCGGGTCACATCAACATATTTATTTTCTGTAGTTATCTTCAAACAAAAAACTATTAATTCAGAAAATTTCTAATATCAGCTCTTCCTTTCTATCACCACTTTCACTGTAAAGACCAGCTAGCCACATCCATCTATTTATTGGCATTGCCTCTTTAGCATTTCTTGCAGAATTTTTCCTATAGTACAATTTTGAAGATGTTTTAATCCACTGCTTAATAATCTTCAATGTCTTCCCACGACTTTCAGAATAGGGCTCAAACTCATTGGCATGACATTTAATAAAAGGAAATTTAGGTCTTATCTTTCCTGTTTTATTGCTTTCCATTTTCTAGCTACTCATAAGTATCCTGGCTTAGACAATGCATTATGTGGTCAAAGTAGTTTAGCATTTCGGGTTTAAGTACTTGCTAATCCCCCCAAAACACATATACTTAAAATCTATGTTGACTTTTCTCAATTTCTTGCATTTATTTGCAAATATCTCTGGTAAGTAAAGAATAAATATTATAGCTGAAGTAAATTAAATAGAAACTAGAAAAATAATGGAAAAGATTGACAAAAATAAGAGTAGCTTTCCTAAAAAAAAAGTTAACAAACGTTTAGCTAGATTAACTGAGGGGGAAAAAAGAGAAAACTCAAATAAATGAAATCAGAAAATGAAAAAGGAGACATTACAGCTGATACAACAGATACACAAAGGATCATAAGAGACTACTATGAACAATTATACACCAATAAATTGAATAACATAGAAGAAATGGATTAATTATTTCACTCAGTAACATAACAAGACTGAAAGACAGATGGAAGAGAAATAGAAAGCCCAGAAATAAGCCCATGTATCTGCAGCCAAAAAATTTTCAATGAAGGTGCCAAGCAAACACAATCAGGAAAGATAGTGTCTTCAAGAAATGGTGTTGGGAAAACTGAATATCCACACTCAGAAGAATAAAATTAGACCCTTATCTCACACCATATACAAAAATCAACTTAAAACAGATTAAAGATTTAAATGCCTGATACTTATCGTAATAACTCTTTGAACACTGAGATAGGATGTTACTTTCTTTGAAGAAGACGGTGGTTTCCAGAGTCCAGAGAGAACTATTGTCATTAAATACTCTGATTTAGATACAGGATGTTTAACTTGCTTGACCAAGGCTATTAGTGATTAACTCAGAATGAAACATAGGCTTCCTTAGATCAGATTTCACGTATGTTCCATTAAACCAAATCCAATATAAAAGCAATTAATGCAGATACTGTGGACTAACACATAGTAGATCAGTGATTTATTTTCTCATTTGTTTGATTTTTGTATTTGTTTTCCCATTTCTTTGTTTTCTCTAGAGGAAGATGAGGCTTCAGGTTTCTAACGTGTGACCTCTAATGCTTCTGCTTCTTACAATTTCTTCCTTGTCCAGCATTCCAGTAATTGTTCAGGTAAATGGCAAAAGAGTTGTGTGGGATAATTTATATTTTTTTTCTTACAAAGGAGAAGGTAATTTGGTGACAGGTAGTATGCAGACTTACCCTGAGCCTACCTGACTTCCTTATTCTTGTTTGTTGTTCTGGGGAAGTAAAAAAGGCAACAGAATATAGGCACACATTTGAAGCATAATAATAACAAAACAGCATACCACACTATGCTGCAACATACCACCTTGTGTCAATCACAATTGCTCGTCCATCCTTGATAACAATGAGTTCCATTACCTGATATAGGTGTCTACGCCTCCAGTATCGGGAGGAGAGTGCAGTAATTGATCCTATCACTGTTGCATCCGATGCTGTTTCTTCATCCCACACTGGGCAGCCATTTGACACGAAGTATATGTAGCACCCATGGTTGCCTCTGGCTGTTCACAACAGAAAACAGACTCCTTGAATTATCACTTTCCTAACTTTCAGAAAATTAGGATGAATCAGAAACTGCTTAGAGGTTAGGAAAGCCAGGGGCCTTGCTTTTTCACCTCCTTTTGACTTCCATGCTGCTTCTCGATTGATGACTTGGAACAGCGTTTTTTCAAGGAATTTATGAACCAGTACACAGAATAAAATCCTATCAGGCATCTGAACAACTTAATATTGATATCCTGGAATGGAACGTCAGAAAAAAGCTGGATCCAGAAAAGAGACTTCTAGATTCTCTGTTACTATTTTATCTTTGCTGTTGTTGCTCTAAATGTTTTCCCTGAAATGTCAAATCAACCTTTTAATGACGCAAAATGCTGTAATTGAATCTGAATGTCTCAAGTGTATGAACTCTAAATTAAATCAAACATATTTCATTTGTAAAATTAAAAATATATATATTATCTACCATATCTGTGCCAGGCAATGTATCCTTTGGCACTTAGCAGAAGGACTTTCTCTGTCTCTACTCTGGTGCTTTTAGATTTACCTTGCACATAATTTTGCATACCAACTCTAATATTTATCCACATGCCTAGACAAAAAAAAGTAGTATTAGTACTATTTGATTGTTTATATTTACTTGCTTAATATATTTACTTATTTAATGTTTAAATTAACTTGTGAATTTAATCACATCCTTAGAACACATATGATAATTAAAATTATCTAATCATTTTATCTAGTTAAGACTTTTTGTTCAATAGCTTTCCAGAGATACAGAATTTTGTGCTCTCTACACTAAATATTGGTGAGGCACAACTCCATCTCTCTTAAACCAAACCAGAATCATTATTTGAAATTCACCTTTCTTCCTCTCTTCTACCCTCGTATTTTCTCTGTTTTTCATGTTGATGATAACTTGGGCACCTGTGTTCAAACAATTTATATTTATCCTGTCTCTTTACTAACTTGTAAGCTCTTTTAGTCTATGGGCCAAATCTGCCGTCTATTTCATCCCATGAATGAGGACAGTACCCAGCTTAAAAAAGAATACTAAAAAAAAATGGAGTTGTATTGACTGACTCCATGTTGTATGACTCAGTTGAAGAAAAGGGAGGGACTGGGAAAGGTTGCGTTAGTGACTTGAAGGGAAAGGTTTGTAGCTATTTGTTTTTTTCCTTATTTAACAGATAGTAAAGTTCTTACTGTCCAATTCTCTGACTCTGGTATTGCAGTACATATTTGAAAAAAAAAAAAAGAATAAATATGAGGAGAAGTGTTCCTTATACTCTAGAGGAGCTTTTGAGGGCATCTAACCTGTACCTTGCCCACCAAAAACATGTACATATCGCTTACAAGTACTATCTCTGCTTTGAATGTGGAATGAACATACTCTTCCTAATTTTCTCAGACTAAGAAATCACAAAGGACATTTTCTGTAAGTCAGTGCCTTTGATCCTTATGATGACACAACCGGCTAGGACAAGACAAGACTTTGTCATACAAGAATGTCTGGAAGGCAGAAATCCCTTACCCACAATATAGTTCCTGATAAGAAGTGATGTGAAAGGTGTTCATGCCAGGGAGAGGGCCCAGGAATGTATGTGACGGCGGGACCCTGGCTTCAGCTTATAGAGTTTGGGTCGGAAGTGCTTAGTCCAGCTGAGTTCCCACAGGAAACAGGCATAATCTAACATGCTCAAGAGACCCAGTGTGAAAGTGTGCCTCAGAGATCCCAGAGACCACAGAGCCCTAAGGGAAAGATTCCTATATCTGAGGGAAAAAACATCTCCAACCATAGCTGGGCTCCAAAAAAGAGCAGTCGGGAAAGCAAATCCTATGCCACAGC